GGCAATAGGGACAGTGGAAATACCTAGGTCCGGAAGACACTTTTTTTGTAAAATTAAGGTGAGGGAAAAACCGCAAAAACTTTTTTTAAGATTATTTCTTTTATTTTTTTTGTTATTTTTTGGGTACCCCAAAAATTTATTTTTAATTTAAAAAAACAAAAACAACTGTTTTGAATTTAAAACCAAATTGAAAAAATTATTATTATTAAAAAATGCCCCCAGTGTTTTTCCAAGTAAAATTTTTTTTTGGTTTCGGGGTTTCACTCGAGTCTATATCTTTTAGTAATAAACCTATTATTTTTTAAAAAACTTTGGGTTTTTTTTACTGAAATTTAAAAGGGGTTTTATACCAAAAATTAATTTGGGGTAACGTTTTACCAAAGTTAATAGGGGTTAAAGTTAAAACCCAATTTAATAGAAAAAAGTTATACCCCCAAATTAAAAGAGTAACTATACCAAAAATTAAAAGGTAACGTTTTTACCAAATTTATAGGTAAGTTTTACCAAAATTTAATTTTAAAAACGGGATACCCAAAATTTTTTAGAATAAAAATTTTACCAAAAAATTAATAAAAGTAAAATTATTCCAAAATTAAAAGAGTAACTTTTTACCAAAAATTAAAAGAGTAAAAATTTACCAAAGTTAATAAGTAAAATTTACCAAAATTAATAGAGTTTAAATTATACCAAAATTTAAAAGAGTAACGTTTTACCAAAATTAATAGTAAAGTTTACCAAATTAATTTGAGTAAAATTATACCAAAGTAAAGAGGGAACGTTTTTTCCAAAAATTTTTTTTAAGTAACGTTAACCCAAAAATTTAATTAAAAAAGTAAAGTTATACCCAAATTAAAAAAGGGGTAAAATTATTTCCCAAAATTAAAAAATTTAAAATTTTTACCAAAAATTTTAGAGGTAAGTTTTTCCAAAATTTAAAGGAATTAACGGGGGAAACCCAAAGTTTTAATTAAGAGTAAAATTTAAAAACCGGGGTTTCAGGAATAAATTATTTAACCAAAGTAAAAAATTTAACCCTTTTTTTTCCCAAAGGGTTTTAAAGGGGTAAAAATTTTTAAAAGTCAAAAAAATTTTTAAGTTATTTCCCAAAGTATAAATAAGGTTTTTCCCAAAATTTAATATTTGTTTCCCCTTTTTTCCAAAAATTTAATTTTAATAACAAATTTCCCCAAAATTAAAAGGTTTTAATCTTTTACCCAAATTTAAAAAGGGAAAACCTTTTTTTCCAAAATTTTTTAAAAATTTTGGTTATACCAAATTTTAAAAGGTTTTATTTTACCCCGTAAAAATTTAAAAATTTTAAAAGTTTTTTGGCTTATAAAAAACCCAAAAGGGGGAGTTTTTTAAAACTTTTAATTGGGGGTAACCCCTTTTCCTTAATGAAGTAATTAACGTTCATAAAATTTTTGGGAAAAAAACGTTAAATTTTTTTAAAATTTTAAATTTTGAGTGGGCTTTATTTTTTAAAAGTTTAAAAAGTAACCCTTTTTTTTCCGTAATTTGATTTTAACTTTTTCCCAAAGTTTTAAAAGGTAAGGGTTAATTTAAAATTTTTTTAAAATTATTCCAAAAATTCATTGATTATTTCCCAAAAAAATTGGAAAAAATAAAAAAATAGGTGAAATTTTTACCAAAAATTAAAAGGAAATAACTTATTTCAAAAAAAATTTAAATTAAAATTAATTTCCAAAATTAAAAAAGTTAAAGTTATTTCCCCAAAAAAATTTAAAAAAACATTAACCCAAAAAATTTAAAGAGGGAAAGTTATACCCAAAATTTAATTGAGTAAATTTTTACCCAAAATTAAAAAAAAGAAAAGGTTTTTTTCCAAAAAAAATAGAGTGACGATAACCCTTTTGAGTTATTTTAAAATATGCCCTTTACCCACGGGAAAACCTCAAAGAAAACCCTGTCAATGTTTTTTGGGGTTTAAATTTTGGGTTTCAAAATATGGTCAAAAATTTTACCCGGGGGGGTTTGGTTTTTTTGGTAAAAAAAAGTGGCATATTTTTGTATCGGTTTGCCTAAAAAAAAACAAAAAAACCCCCAAAGAAAAAACCGGGACCCCAATTTCATACTGACCAAAAGTAAAAAAAGACAAAACTTCGAAAAAAAATTTTAAACGATTTTATTTTTTATTTTTAAAATTTTTCCAAACGGGTGCTTAATTAATCAATATCAATGTATATATTTTCCCCGGAAAATCTTTCTTTTTAAAAATAGTTTTTTAAGGGGGAAAGATTGGCCCCGATTAAAAACAGAAAGCGGGTTTTTTAAAAAATTTTTTTTTTTTTTGGGAAAATGGACACAAATTTTTCAAACTTTCCAAAATTTATTTAACACTAAACGAAGCAAATAAAAATTAATAAGTTTTTTTAATTTGGAAACTCCCCCCCCGGGGCTACCCCTTTTGTTTATTAAATTTTCTTTTTTTAAAGTCTTATATGAAAACAAGTTTGTTTTTTTTAAATGGGATTTTAAATATCAAAAACCAGTTCTTCTTTCTCACAAATGTTTTCCCTTTTAGGCAAAATTTTTTAGGGGAAAAACTGTATTAATTTGGGAAATGGAAAAATTTTTTTTCCAAACCCCCTACGCACTTTATTTAAGTTCTTTTAATGTATAAGTCCCTTTACTTACCCTTTATTTTAGGGGCCCGGCCCCTATTGTTTTCACTATTTTGGCGTTACTTTTTTCACCTTTTTCCCAAGTTTTTTCCCCAATTTCACGCGTTTGTTTCCCCCATTTAAAACTTAATGTTTTAAAGTTGGGGGCCTATATAGGGGGCATAGCAATTGTATTTAATCCCCGGGAATCTTTTCCCGTGAGGAATTTTAGGGGGGCCCAATGTGAATAATTTTTCATTGGGGATTTTAACCCACGACCGGGAAGATTAGAAGTCTTATGATATACTTTTTTCCCCCTTTAAAAGATGTTAAGTTAAAGGATACCCTTTTGGGTTTTACTAAATTGTTTTAAAATTGCACTATTATTTAAAGGTTTTTAAATTTCTTTTAAAAGTTTATATCAAGCTTTTTAAAAAATTTTTTGAAAAAACAAGGAGGGAATTACCTTTTTACCTTTTAACAAAACGGGGATTAATTCGAAAAAAAAAAACCACAAAAAAACAAAAAAAACGGAACGTTGTTGGTTCTACTTCGGTGCCCGTTGGTGCCTTAAATTATGCACGACGGGGACGTTGGTTGGCAACTGAAGTCTTCCTTCACTAGTAAAGATTGATTGTCGCAATATGACCATTTCTGTGTTAGAGCGATGTAAAAATCAGCCCCCGGAATATATATAGAAATCAAAGTCATGACAAATAAAGTTAAATCTTATTTAAGGTAACATCTTTCAACACACAATGACTTTACTTAAACATGTAAAATAAAGACAATACTTAAAAGTTATAATTGTTTTTTAAAAAAAAATACAAAAATTTCCTAAATGTGCTTTTATTAGCATTAGTAACGTTTTTATATTTTCCCCTTAATTTTTTTTTCATTCAAAAGGACGTTTAAAAATTTTGCAAAACTTGAATTTGTATTTAAATTTGGGTTAAAAAAGGGTTTTTTTCCGGGAAAAAATATATGGTGGGGGAAAAAATTAAAAAATTTTTTAAAAAAACCAAAATGTTACAGTCATTAAAGAATTTTAAAAAAGTTTCGAAAAACCCCTTTTTAAACCTTTTGGATTTTGGAAATACCAAAATTTTAAATTGTTTTAAAACTTTTTCCGGGGGTTGTGAACCCGTGGGGAAATTAAAAGTTTTAATTTTTTGGGTTTTTATTAAGGTCTGGGGTTTTTAAAAAAAAAAAAAAATTTAAAACGAAATTTTAGGGTTTTGGAAAAAAATTTTTTTCTTTGTTTTTTTCTTTAAAATTTTTTTTAAATTTCCCTTTTTTTTCCTTTTGTTTAATTGGGGGGAAAATTTTTTCCTAAAAAAAAATTATCCACCATCTTTTTAAAAAATTTTAAAAAATTTTGTTTAAAATTAAAAAAGTTGAAATTAAATTTTTTAAACGTGTTTTTAAAAATAATTTCCTAAAATTTAAACCGAAAAGCCTTAAAAAATTTAAGTTTTTTTCTGTTAAAAAAGGCAAAAACTTTTCCGAATGCAAAAAGGGTTTTGTTTTTAAAAATTTAAAAATTTAAAAAAGAACTTTTAATTTTTTCCCCCTTAAATTCCCTTTTAAAATTTAAAAAAATTTTTCCCAAAACATGGTTTTTTTGGTTTTTAAAAAAAAGCCAAAGCGAAAAAATTTGGATTCTTTTCAAAAAAGTGGGAAAAAAGTTTAGCTGCCCCGAAACGGGTTGGGAAAACTAAATTTAAAAATTTCCTGCCTTAACATTTAAAAATAAAAAAAACGTCAAGCATTTAAAACTTAAGCTTTTTAAACCTTTAAAAAAAAACTATTAAAATTGTCAAAGAGACTCCGAGAAACTTTTTGAGGACCCATGTTTTTTCCAACCGGCGAAAACGGTCTGGCAAGTTTTTAAAATGGAAAAAAACTGTTATGTAAAATGGTAAAAGAAACCGTTACGCCTATTAATTTACAAATTCCCTTTCAAAATTTGGGAGGCAAAAACTTCTGAAAAAAGGGGGTTTTTTTCCCGAAAAGCTTCACAAGGGTTAAAACCAAATCCAATACAAAATGGAGCATAAATTTTCATAAAATACTTTTAGGATAATCTCCGTCACATCGTGATAATGAAAACTTATACAAAGTTTGCTGTGAAAACTGAACCTCAACCTAACCGAAGAGAGAGTCATATCCCGACTTTTTTTTCTTTGATAAAGTCCATACAAATTTCGAAATTATAGATATAATTATTACTTTTTTATTCTGTAGTAAGCAAGTCTAATAATTAACTCTTTCAATTGAGAATGAAGTCAATAAGTATGCTGTTAAAATTTATAATTTACCAAAAATTATGAGTGTATTTCATACTATACTTTTATAACAACACATAACTAAACCCTCATTTTATATCTTTATTTCAATAAAGCGTGTTACAAATGAGCAGTGTTTTATCTTGACAATATCTATTCAAAAAATTAAATGCATTCATAAATTGCAGAATTATGCGCCTTTTCTACGTTGCTTTTACTTAAATATTAAGCATTGATAAAAGTAGAATGAGCTGCCCGCGAACACAGGCCTTGTCAAATAAAATTTTAAAATTATCCATCCTGATTCATTTATTGATAAAACCTATACACGTACATGCCATTAAATACTTCAGCTGTTTTCAAAATACGAACGGTAGAAAAAGAAAAAGTTTTCTCATTACAAATCAAAGAGAAATATAAATGAAATTTATCATATTCAGTCATACTGAATCTAGAACACAAAGGCAAAGATTCAGTCATACAAGTTAAAATTTTACAATGATAAAAACTGGCATTATAATTAAAGTCATACATGTTAAAATTTTACAATGATATAAACTTGCATAATTCAATCTTACAAGTTATGACTGTACAATATTGTAAACAAAGCAAGCATTTTATTTACCAAAATGTTCAATCAGCCTTGAATTAAAAATATATACCGATTTTCACAACTTTAAATCTATCTTGGCTTCTTTTTTACAAATAAATTGGTATCTATTGTAACATGGCCGGTCAAACCATAAACTTGAAAAGCCACTGATCGCAACACAATTCTCACGAGTACCTCCATTGGGTTCATTGGCTCTAAAATTTCTGAAAATATAAACATAATTTACTTTTATATTTTTTTTTCTTATTTTCACGTTTGATGTTGCGTACTGATCATGAAATTCACTAACAGACTAGCATATGTATTAGTATAAAGGAGAGCAATCCTTGTATATTTTCATGTAACTATTTTGTGTTTAATGCTTCCGAGGGATCAATCTTTCTCTAAATGTTTATTGATTATACGTACGTGAATGATGCAGGTTGACCAGTTCTTTCTGATATCCAAGTACCCTCCTCCTTCTCATCAGAATAACCCACCCATGCGACAAAATAACGTGATTTTGTTAATTTCACGATAGTAGAATTAACTGCTTCAATATTTTCAAAATCAATCAAGGTTGCTCCTAAACGCTTACAATGAGCACGAGCTTCACTGAACGTTTTTAACTCATAAATATACAAATAACAATACGATGAATATTCTGTCCAGTCCAATGGACATGTAAAATCATAGTTTACCAAATGTTCAAAGTTTATCAAGTTTTCTAAGTTTATCAAGTTTGCAGAAATTAAAACATTTAAAAGATTAGCTTGAGTTTCTTTTAAAGCTTCTATTTCTCTCTGCTGGACACTTATCAACTTCTCTGTGGTGTCACTCTTTAGAGACACTTCCCTCATATCTTTAACATTATTTGTGATTATTTCGTCCAGTTTGCTCAGATTTGTTCGGATGTTGTCATTAATTGTTGCATTGATCATTTCTAGAGTGCTTTCTATTTCTTCTTTTTCATCTTTGAGTTCGTTTTTTAGCTCTGAGAAGTTCTTATTAAGCAGATCAGTTTGTTCATTCACTAGACCCGTAAGATTTTCCACTTGATCTCTTGTCCATTGTTTTTCCCTATTAAGTCCTAACGACACTAGTATTCGGCTTGACTTTAGAAGTTGAACACATTTTGTAGAACAAGTCTTCTTCTCTTTTTCTGTCTGTTGGTGCTGTATAGGACACATTTGATCCTTGAAATTTATCAAAGAATTGTTAAGCTCCTCGAAGTTTTGTTGCAATGATTTTGCCAGTTTGTTGTCCGAATTTATTCGTGATTCAATTATACTAATTCGTGTTTCTACACCACCAATTCTTTTTTCTATGATATCAAATCTGTCTCTTCTTTTTGCATACACAATAGAAACAAGTACAAATAAAAAGAAGAAAATTGCCACTGTATTTTCCATTATATTGATCATCGTTTTCATAACGTTTACGTTAAAAATATCTTGAAAAAAATCAATGAAACGTTTGAAATTAAAAATTGTTAGAACAAGTTTTTTAAATATCAAATACACTTTTGAGAAGAAATAGAAGAAACAGGTTTGGGCTCACTTGCCTCGTATATTCGTTTATTTGGCATGTTAAAAAAACAAAAGATACAAAATCAACGATAAAATTTTAATGTACGAAAGACCGTTGGGGACATTTCAATTCTTGATTTCATCTTCGTGGATTTACAATTTTAACTTCATAAATTCACGTTTTCAACATACGGAATTCTCGAATTTATGATTTAAACTTCATAAATTTACGATTTCAACTTCATTAATTCACGATTTTAACATCAAGAATTCACGATTTCAACTTCATGAATTCACGATTTCAACTTCACGAATTCACGATATCCTTTCATGAAGTCTTGTTTTGAACTTCACAATTTCAACCTTACGAATTCAAGATTAATTCTTCACGAAGTTGAAATCGTGAAGTTGAATGAGTGAATTCGTAAATTCTGCATGTTGAAATTGTGAATTCATGAAGGTGAAATTGTGAATTGTGAAGATGAACCGAGTACTACCGGTTTTTTGCATTGATACTATATACATAAAAAATATTGTTTAGTGGATATATCTCATACCGTATTTCTCCTATTTAACACCCGACCCGTCGATACTATGCCCCCCATTCCGTCGTGGCCATGCATTATCTATTTAAAACTCAATATTAATCTAAAACAAACATGTTTGCAATGGCAGAAAAAAACAACAAAAGAAAACAACAAACAAACAACAACAACAACAAAACAACAACAAGAAGTATCTTTCAAAAAGATACTCGGCCGAAGTAAGACTGGTTAGCATGCAAATTATATTATTTCTTAGTTTACAATACAAAAAGAATTGTAAGCAGTGCTTGCATAACAATAACATAATAATTATTCCTTGTAGCTATGGAAATTCCCGTTTTGTAAAGAACTATCATCATGATTGTACATTTTATTTTAGAACTTTCCTTTAAATTTGTTTTATAGTAACAACAACTATCCCATACATTTTATTTTAGAGCTATCCTTAAAATGTTATTTTAGAATGGTAAGAACTATCCATTACATTTTATTATAGAATGGTAAGAACTTTCCTTTACCTTTTATTATAGAATGACCAATGAGATTCACCGATTTCAGATTGCAATTCTAAAAACATTAATTTTTAAGGAAATCCAACCGATAACAGACGGACATCGTCCGAACCAAAAATAGAAAAGCATTAAAATAATTTATCAATCGGAACATTCTCGGCTATTATCTATAATTACCTCGGAAACAATACGGATTTAAAGTAGTTCTACCACGTGGTTTCAGATGTAAACAGAACCAGATAATGTAAAACAAATCTATGTAAAGAAAAGTAATGTCTGTTTCGGTACACTTATGATTGAAAATATGTCTGACAACAATTTGTAATTTAAATATGTCCACTGATGTACAATTTTAAACAAATCCGACTAAATGTCAACAGGTTGGTTTTTTGTACTTTCGGTTTCTACAACCATAATAATAAATAAAGAAATAATGTATTGTTTGCTTTTGTATCTATAAATTCACTTATTTTAGGTAGACTTTTACCACATATATTGGAAATAAACTTGTGAACAATTCCCAGCATTTTTTTACTATTTGTTTACACGTTTAGTTTCTTAGCGTAGGTTAGACCGAAATGCCGCATCCGTTCTGTGTATTCATACTATTGTGTTCGAGGTCCTTTTTCGAAGACTGACGGAAAGGGCCGAAAAGTTGCGATTGGTAATTTATTCTTGATATATATTTACCAAAGTCGTTGTCATCTACTTATATTATGTTACTTTTCGGCATAATGGACATAGGATCAGGATTCTTCAAAAAAAAATAAAATAGACATTGCCATGGGAAGATGCTTGTACTCGGAGATATACGGTTCTTGTTGGAGAAGCATGCACTTTGTATTCCTACATGTATGTTACATAAACCGGTTTAGTGCCTTGTATATACTAGTATATACTTCAGACACATGACGTTGCAACGATAATGCAAAGTGACAGCTGATATCTGCATTCGACACGTCGCATAACACGTATGACTACAATATAACATACAAATCTTAAATGACATTGTGCATTGACATTACGTCTGTCGTGCGTTGTGTTGATTGTTGATTGAATATCTACATTAAATGTGGCACTAACTGGATGTCGTAGTTTGGTTTCATTTATATTTTACATCCACATCGTGGGAAAAGCCTTCAAACAGAAACGACAGCCAATAAAAACAGCACTTGTTTTGTTAGAACAGATGTTAGATTGACGTAACCTTGGATATTATTCATTTATCTTAGATTTCTCAGATGAAGCATGTTTTTCCTGGCAAGTACACAAGTGTCATAAACCAGTGCTTGTTTATGGAAAGCCATACATGTCTTATATTGTTCTTTTTCAATTTATTTACCATGTGGTTCACTTCGATAACTTATGAATTATTTAAAACACCTTGTTATGAAACCATTACATAAATCCACAGTTACAATATGTCAAAACATGCATGCAGTCAGTTTATGAAACCAAGGTAGCTTTATATAAGTTGATTTTCTCAATATATGATATCAATTCTTCTATACTACTATATAATACCAAAGTTACAATATATGGAACCAGATAACCTTATATGAATCCGAATTATCAATATGTTAATTCATTTTTTCAATATCTAAAATCATGTCGTCAGTGTATGAAATCAAAGTATCAATATCTAAGTTGATTTTGGCATTACATGTATATGATACCAATTCTTCAATATATGGTAACAAAATAGCCAGGTATTGAACCAAATATTCTTTATATGAAACTGAATTATCAATATATTTATTTATTTTTACAATACACAAATGTATATGAAACCATTTAATCAATGAACGAAACCGAAGGAGCTATAGATTTCTATATATTAAGTGGATTCTTTCATAATATGATACCAGTTTTATAAAATGACATATTATTGCATATATGGTTTCATTTTATGAAAATCAACATAATTTTATATATTAACTATGCGGTTCCATACATTGATAAAATGGTTTATTGTAACACTCCTCGTGATTTTGTCACTGTATACAAAGAAGAAAAACGGTGTTAAACTGACAATAAACATTGGCAAGGGACTACTTGTATATGCGGCTGTTATGTTTTCTCCCTCGATTATATAGTTTACACATACTTTTAAAGCAACAGTAAAAAACATTTTTATTGATATTTTTAGTTCTTATAATGTTTTCTTTTCATACAATACTGAATAATATCTCACATACACTAACGTCAGAGATTTGATCCATACCAGTAAATACTTTTTGACAAAACGGCGCAAATCCGTTACCAGCGTAATGACGTCATCATTACGTACACAACTCATTCATAAACGCCCTAGAATGACATCATTTCAAACATACAAAAATGATTAATTGGGCACTGATGTAAACACAATACAATCCAGTCTGAGACGTAAGTTTTTATTGTTGAAAATTTGATAAAATAACTTTTTTTCTTATTATTTATTTTGATTATAATTTCTAAATCTTATCAACAGTAGGGTGCGAAATCGAAAAGAGTTATACGAAAATTGGCACCTGAAGTATTTCCATTTGAAAGAATATAACATGATCTTCATTATTTTGTCTTGTTAGAAACGAAATAATATTGGTCTGAGCAGTGTTTGAAATGAAAACCTGCTATCAATGCAAGGTGAAAATCAACTAATATACTGTTTCTTCATTGATTAAGTGCCTTCATAAATTGTAAAAATAAATTCATATAGGCCTACTGATAATTCGGTTCCATATTAAGATATCTGGTTTACTACAGTGCTACTTTTGTAACATTCATAGAACAACTGGTATCATATAATGTGATAATCAACTTATTTATTGCCACTTCAGTGTTTCATACATGTAAAGTATAAATTGAACTAATATATAGACATTTCGGATTCATATAAGGATATCTGGTTCCATATGTAGCTACTTTTGTACCATATATTGAAGAATTGGTATCATATTTATTGAAAATAAACTGATATATAGCTTCTTGGATTTCATACACTGATGGTTTTGTTTCATATATTGTAACTATAGATTAATATAATGGCTTCCGGTTTATAAAAGGGTCATTTCAATTCATGTATAGTGGAAGTGAACTTATATATAATCCGCATGATTGGTTAAATTTATTGGAAAAGAACAATATAAGACAGCCATGGCTTTCCATACCTGTTGACTGTAAAACAGCAGGGGCCTTGTTTTGCTGTACACTTGCCATACTATAACTTACCGAGATAGGACGAGATGCTGCATGCATGCATGTGTTAGCAGTTAATTATATATTTTAAAACGTTTTTATATAAACACGTATCCTGTTTTCTCTGTCATCATGCCAACTTTCTAAGAAAGTGCTTCACAAATATTTTTCTTTAGTGCAACTTTTGCTGACCGAATTTCTATAGAGAAATAACCTATTTATAACAACAGAAGCACTTCACAGTAAATTTAACCTCTTTAGCAGTACAGCATTACCTTAGCAAAAACAAAAATCTTCGTCTCCCAAAACGAGGTTGCTCGGTAAATATCTGTAATCATGATCAAAACTAAGATTACGTAGTAACAATTTTAGAATCGATAGCTTTATTTTATGATTACTACTTTCAACGGGCAGGACTTGAAATGGTTGCACTTTTTAAAGTGAACGAAATGGTTGCACAATTGGTTAAAGCGAACGAAATGGTTGCACACTTGGTTAAAGCGAACAAAATGATTGCACACTTGGTTAAAGCAAACGAAATGGTTGCACACTTGGTTAAAGCAAACGAAATGGTTGCACACTTGGTTACAGCAAACGAAATGGTTGCAAACTTGGTTTAAGCAATCGAAATTGTCGAACACTTGGTTAAAGCGAACAAAATGGTTTCACACTTGGTTAAAACAAACGAAATGGTTGCACACTTAGTTAAAGCGAACGTAATGTTTGCACATTTGACAAATTAAATGGCGACCGAGAAATGAAAATTTATAACGGTCGTTCATATTTTGGTCAGGACAGTGGGTTTGTATGTTATTTTATATATATGAATATCCCATATTATTAAATCAGCGTTAATGTCACAATCAGCTTTCGGTTTCAGCTTCCTGTGTTCTAATTTGACAAAGGTATTGTAGATATAAACATGTGCATATTTTTAGATTTGACAAGTGACTATTCGGGTCGGTTGTCTACTCATTTATTCAAATCTGTAAGTTTAGAAGTTTATAAAACAAAACAGCCTATGTTTCTGTCATTACTGTATAAATCTTTTAGCTTGTTATAACGTCTATAACGTCTCAATACACATAGATATCCTGTTCAAAAGTCCCCCTCGTATAGATCAGATGGCCTCGTGTTTCGTTGCTCTTTCTATTACAAAACAGCATTAGCAGGGGGTCGAACGTATAGCGGGTAGATATTTTTTAAGCGAGGTAAATGGTGCGAAACGGAATAATGGCGGGTTTTAAACTATAAACACATTTCAGAGTGAGTGTATTTTATAAATATGTAACAGTCATTGACGGTTAATTTTTTGTGGATGATGTGGGGCTCTGACCTACATGACATACATGTATTTCCTCGAAATCATAGGAGCTTAGGTAAAAAGTAAAAATGGTTAATGAAGGTAAACTGGCAATACCTGATTTTGTGTCCGTTACAAAGTAATTTATAATAAGTTCTTTTAATTTGATTTTCAATGAAATGTATTAGTCCGTTTACTTACTGTGACGTAGGACTGCCATATGTTTTGTATGATTCCGCGTTACTTCTTGGACTATTCTAACGTTATTCTCAAATTCGAGCGTTTGTTTCCCCTTTAATTCCAAATGTCAATATTGGGGACCTAGACATGTTACCTCTAAACATATTGCCTGATTTCTTGGTATCATAATGACAGAGGAATGACATTTCATCTTGAATCAAACGGAACACTGTTGGTTCTACTTTGGTGCCCGTTCGTGCCTTAAATTATGCACCGGTGGAGAGGCGGGAGGTGGGACGGGTGCAACTGAGGTCTTCCTCCATCAGTAATGCTAGAAAGACACTGTGTGATCTGTTCTTTGTTAATGCAACGTAAAATCCCCCTCGCCACCCCCACACACCAAAAATAAAGAAAGAAATAATTAAAATCTTATCTAAGCTTGTATCTTTCATCATACAATGATTTAACTTTAACACGTTAAAAACCTTTGCATGTTTTATGTTTCAAACACATAATTAATCTCGGAAAAATATGCTATGATCATAATTGATGTTTATATCTTTCTTATGCATGTATTCATTTTATGTTAATATGTTGATTACTTGTAAATATATTGTCCTCATGGGTCTATGACCTTCTGGAATTTACTTGAATAAAATCTTTAAAAATCTTTATCATATGATGTTTATATTATATGAACGCATGCAATGTAAATAAAACAACAAACTAACAACCCCCACCCTCACGCAAAAAAAGGAGGCAAGACTTAAGTTATTATTTAATTGTTTAAGAGGTTTGCGTTTGCATGTACATTGTATATCATTAAAAAAAGAACTGACTTGCAACAGTAAATATTACCTTTAGTCTATATAGGAGTTTAGTGTTCTCCATGTCTTTATATTCCAGAAAATGGTGGAATAAGTAAAGTGCAGACTATTATGAATATTGTAAGCTGGCGTCTGTTTATTTGAATCTTGCATGCAAGCGCAACATATTAAACATATTAAATATTGAATATTTGAACATAACATTCCACGAATCATCTTATTTTTGCTGTAAAATACATGTTTTGATCTCCAAACATTGTATATATTACAATTTATACTTTTTTACACTTTATGAAAATTAACTTTTCGTATTCGTATTTATAAAATAACGGTATAAAATGAATCTAAAAGCATATAAAGTTGACTGGCTGCCCATTATAAATTTTCATTCAAATGGACGTTATAATTATTGCAGACTTCATAACACATCATGGGTATCCATAAACAGGTTTTTTCCCAATTTTTTTATATATAAAAAAACATTTAGACCCGTTAACAGTCTTTAGAAGAGGTGTGTAAACTTTGCAGTAGCATGACCAATTGTGTGATAGTGAATTTGTCCCCGAGCGAGTAAATAGCTAGCCAACGTGTAAACTCCGTGCAATTTACAGTTAACTTGTTTATACGCTGTGTGATTTAGGCAGGGAAGATTGAGCGACTTCAGGTTTGAACGTTTTTATTCTAAGTTTATTTGTATTTTGTCTATGCAATGTTACATGCTTGAAGTGTAAAACTGTTTCTTTTAAATTACATGATAGATTACATGTTCAATTCATTGGATTAAATTTTATATGTTTTACTATACATCACTGTGAGTAGTCGAGCAAGGACCTTGCTCGCCAAGGTGATCTGTAGTAAAGGTATAATGGTACATTTTCTTTCTTTATTTCAGTAAAGGAAATTAGTATACAATTATGGTTTATTTTAAATAATTATTAGGGAAAAGATAATTAAATGCATATTATCTGATTATGCAGACAGGTTAAAAAACCTGATCAGACTTATAACATAAAAAGTCACATTTCTAAAAAGTGATAAAGATACTTTTTTAAAACTTTGTTTATTGAACAAAATATATTACACAAACAGAAAGAAAACATATTTGGTTACAGTCACTTTTGTGATAATCGTTTCTACTTTTTCATGTTTTCATAACACATAATAACTGATAATTTTGAACTCCTTCAAATATATGTTACATGTACAAATGCAAAGTATAAAAGAAAATTGGTTAAATAAATTCTTTATGTACTAATTCATTGCGCCAACACCTATCAGCATACATTTCATTCAGTTTTCAGGGAAAACTTTAAAGTGAGATGTTCAATGTCAAAGAGTTTTCAAAATATTTATGCCAGAAACAAAATATTACATCCAAATATATAAAATAAATATACAGGCGTTGAGCAAAATGAAGTTGTTGGATACATTTCTGTTAAGAAATTTACATTACAACATATTTTTTTATGAACTTCAAATATTTTGTTTCCTGAAAATGGGAAATAAAGGGAAATAATTCTAAGAAATTTAAAGGCAACCAAAATCTTTTTGATTTTGATTTGTGTCATATATAATGCTTTAATAAACAAAACAAATTAAAAAGAAGCATATTTATTATTTTTTCTAGAAATATGATTTTATATGATGAGCCCATTCGAGCATATTAACCAGCCTGTTATGCTACAGAAAATCATATTAATTAAAATCTTCAGAAATGTCAAACATGTGTTTAATAGTTTTAATTATATATTTAGAGCATATTAGATGTTTAACAGCTGAAGAAAGAAGCGCCGAATGTGCACTAATGTGTTTAAAGGTAGTAGATGTAACAGGGTCTTATTTTTAAGATCTAAGCTTACTGTTGAATTTCATAATTTTGCAAAGGGAGACAAATTCGCCGGTCTTGTCTGATACTTTTCAAGGGAGATTACTCCATTGGTTTTAACTGATTTCATGTTAGTAATCTAAGGAATCAAATGATTATTATGTCATGCTATTTCTTGATGGGAAAGTCATTGAGTCTTTGTTGTTGTAAAGAAGAGATATTAGAATGATTGATATACATGTATAATACACAGTTTGTGTGTATGTTAATGTCAGGGTTGTTGTTCATAATTATTGTTCAACACCTCTTAAACCGGATGGCAGATTTTGCTTAAACTTCCAGGGGTGAACAACCTTAATGTGTAAATGGTAGTAAAGGAAGGATTTTTTGCTGCGACTAAATTTAACAGAATTATAGCCCTTTGTTGATTTTTGCGACGGACGCGCCCTCAGGCGCGTTCAGAGCTATGTCATCTACACATGGGATTTCGTCGGCTACAATCGCTCAATGTGTCCTCAACCGAATAACAGCCCACGAAATAGTACATGAATTTGATCCTATGAAACTCCCATACTTCGTCGGGATATCTTAAAATCTTCCATATTTAGCCTTTTCAATTTCAAATTAAGTTATCCAAGTTAAAATATAAACGTGTTTGATTGATAAAAACGCTGTAGCCCCGTAGTATTATTGCGCAATTATGCAAATAACTGCTGAAACGATTTACCGCTGTCGAAAAAGCAGGACAGCAAATTAATAAGCTCAATAATTCATAGAAAGTATAAGCAGGAAATAAATATTTCCCCATTAAACAAAACATTTTTATTAACAGATCAAAAGTTTTTCGTGACTTTAGAATAACTCGCGCATTAATAAAAGAAGAACTCTTTTCGTGACTCATACCGCGGGTTTAGCTGAATATCCAGCAGTAATAAATTAGACTGCAGTACAATGAAGTTATAATATCATTTCTACTTCCGATTCTTGTGTTTTGTTTACATATTTTTCTAGGTCACGATATGAGTTAACCTGCTATGAGATTATAATAGCCTTCGACCAGAAGATAACACTATTCTAAAAATAGATTCTGCATCATCTGTGCTGACTTTCGGACGAGTACACATTATACATGTAATAAACCAGCGGATACTTACTTTGTTTACATGCGATACTTTAAGAAATTCTATACAATTGTAAGAAGCAAACAAGTTGAAAATGGAATTTAGTGTGAAATTGAAAGGGACAACTAAACACTGTAGTGCTTAAGTGACGTAAATGAAAAAAAAACTAAAAAATACACCATTAATTGCTGATGATTTTAACCAAAAATTTTTTTAATGAGACATATCCAAGAGAAATAAAAATACAAATGACTTAAATATTTTATTGTCTATATGCCCACTATGATATAACACGAAGCAATTCTTATTAACATTCTCACATGTATTATGTATTATGATTGAAGTTTATTTGCATGGTTTTATTTTAGAAATATTTCGTTGACAGTTTTTTTTCTATTCATATATCATTTCTTGGAATAAATCGATAAGGACACTGATTTACAAGTTTGACCAGAGTTTTTAGGCATAAATTTCATTCTGTATTTAAAAATTTGGACTTGTTCTGCTTGAAAGTAGAAAATCTGAATTATATCAGATTGGGACACATAAAATATATTGCTCTACAAATCTCGAACTTGTATGGAACAAATTTTCTCTGTTATATCTTTTGTGTTGTTTTTTTTTTCTTAAAAAAAGCCTTAATGTCTCTCCGGTTGCATGTCCGTCGCATTCAGTGCTGCAGCACTTTGATTTCACTTTATACGATATAGAGATTTTGTGAACGCAACTTCTCTTAAACCGGATGGCAGATTTTGCTTAAACTTCCAGGGATGAACAACCTTAATGTGTAGATGAAAGTAAAGGAAGGAATTTTTGCTGCGACAAAATTTAACAGAATTATGGCCCTTTGTTGATTTTTTCACTATATACCATATATATATGTTGTCAGTTGGGGCATCCGTTAGTTCTAGTTTTATTAGATCTTAATATGTTTTACTTCTTACCTTTGTATGTTACTGACGAATGCTAGTGTGATGCTGCTTGTCTTCTCTATTTGTTAACGCAATGCTATTTGTCTTATTTATTATAACCGTTTTCTTCATTTATCATACTTTAAACATGTGTTTTATATTACAGAAGTCGGTGTAAAAAGCTTATCAGAGCTTATGTTTATTGTTGATGCATCCGACTTATAAATTTACTTGACTTGACTTGAGAAAATTAGTGTTTTGTGGTCAAGTTCTTTATTTTTTAAGTTGGTATGTATTTGTCCATAGGAACTCGAGAACGGGACCGCAGATTGCGGCGCATATTTTCGATCGTGTAACGGTTTTTAAAAACGTTTCTGCTACATCTAAATATCTTTAAGAATTATCCGAGCATATGGCCTCAAACAATATATTATCACTTGAACCTAATCTGTTACTTTTAAAACTGGTCAAATTTTACGGTATTATAAAATCAAAGTGCTGCAGCACTGAATGCGACGGACATACAACCGGAGAGACATTAAGGTTTTTTTTAGAAAAAAACAAAACAAAAACATAACACAAAATATATAACAGAGAAAATTTGTTCCATACAAGTTCGAGATTTGTAGAGCAATATATTTTGTGTCCCAAACTGATATAACAGATTTTCTACTTTCAAGCACTTAAATACAGAATGAAATTTATGCCTAAAAACTCTGGTCAAACTTGTAAATCAGTGTCCTTATCGATTTATTCCAAGAAATGATATGTAAATAGAAAAAAAATACTGTCAACGAAATATTTCTAAAATAAAACCATGCAAATAAACTTCAAGCATAATACATTATACATTTGAGAATGCTATTTAGAATTGCTTCGCGTGTTATATCATAGTGGGCATATAGACAATAAAATATAAGTCATTTGTATTTTTATTTATCTTGGATATGTCTCATTAAAAAGTTTTAGTTAAAATCATCAGCAATTAATAGTGTATTTTTTAGATTTTTTTTTTATTTACAAGGTAAAGATGTAGAGGCAAGAGCACATCGTTTTTATTTTAATTTAAATGTCACTTAAGCACTACAGTGTTTAGTTGTCCTTTTCAATTTCACACTTAATTCCATTTTCAACTTGTTTGCTTCTTACAATTGTATAGAATTTCTTAAAGTATTGCATGTAATCCGCTGGTTTATTACATGTATAATGTGTACTCCCTAATCGCCTGTCCAAAAATCAGGCCAGGTGAAGCAGAATCTATTTTTAGAATAACGTGACCTAGAAAAATATGTTAACAAACCACAAGAATCGGAAGTAGAACTGATATTATAACTTCCTGACCATGAAAGACTACATGGAAAAACTCTCTTCTTACATGCATTTTCAAAAATAGATATTTATACTAACCATTGTACTGTATCTAATTTATTAATAACTGCTGAATATTCAGCTAAACCCGCGGTATGAGTCACGAAAATAGTTCTTCTTTTATTAATGCGCGAGTTATCCTAGAGTCACGAAAAACTTTTGATTTGTTAATAATAATGTTTTGTATAAAGTAGAAATATTTATTTCCTACTAATAATGTCTTGGAACTCAGAGCTTACACCTTTATTGTAGTATAATTTTCTGTCCTACTTTTTCGACAGCGGTAAATCGTTTCGGCAGTAATTTGCATATTGCGCAATAATACTACGGGACTACAACGTTTTTATCAATAATATACGTTTATATTTTAACTTGGATAACTTAATTTGAAATTGAAAAGGCTAAATATGGAAGATTTTAAGATATCCCGACAAAGTATGGGAGTTTTGAAGGATCAAATTCATGTACTATTTCTTGGGCTGTTAATCGGTTTAGGACACTTTGCGCGATTGTAGCCGACGAAATCCCATGTGTAGATGACTTAGCTCTGAACGCGCCTGAGGGCGCGTCCGTCGCAAAAAGACAAGGAGTGACATCCGCCATTTGCCGCAACGTTCGGCATGAGTTTCCCCCCCCCCTTTGGCTACACTTGATTACTATTTTTTCAGAATTGTGTTCCCGTTATCGTTGTCAACCATCAGGTATCGTAACAGTTTAATGTTTACACGTGTTGACATGCACTAGTGTTTGACATGTATAGTCGTCATTATAACGGGCGTATTCGTGTTATGATTTGTTTACATGGAGAAAACAGACACTTTAGTAATATGGTCTAATAGATTTTGCCTAACTGAAAAACAGGAATATTAAAAACATGATCCATAGATAAATATTCAAGGCACTCATCTGGTATTCCTTATTAGGAAATGTGAAAGTTTCCCATGTATTGAGTGACATAAAGAGAGTACTAGAAAAATTAAAACAAAAATCAAGCATATCAAGGGGGGTAACTTACGACGAACGTTGCGGCAAATGGCGGATGTCACTCCTTTTCTTTTTTCAATATACCGTAAATTTGACTGATTTTTAAATTAGCAGATTATATTAAATTGAGATAAGATAATTAAAGACCATCCGCTCGTATAATATAAAAAGATATTCAAAGGTCGGACAAACAATATGTAAAGCTGGTAAGGATTCGGATTTATGCGCCGCAATATGCGGTCCTGTTCCAGAGTTCCTATGGTATTTATCCTGACTGCTGCTTAATGCTTTATTGTAAATATGGAGAATTGCATTATTGTGATTCTTTTCTATTCTGGTCCAGTCCATTGATTGTTAAATTTGTAAAAAAGTATGAGTTTCAGAATGACATGTATCTATCAAGTCACCTTTAATCTTTTATTCACTATAAATATTTTACCTTGCAGTTAACAGTCACTGGTGTGATAGAGAGGAAGTATCAGTTATAAGATTGATGTACTTCACTCATCCCTCAGATGGTAAGTTACATTTGATGTATTGTGTATAATTGTTTGAAGTGTAATATGTGGTACATGTGTGTATAATTCCATAATCTATGCGTATGATTTTTAAGGACTGTTGCTTAGTATGAAGGACTGATTGGCTACTAGACATGTAAATAATTATGTTCTAGATGTGAACATATGATATTAATTAATGTAATGCATTGCTTCTACTTTATATTTACATATTGATATATACTTATTTAAGAGTGTTGTTTGTATCTTATACTTTATGTAACAACCTTAATTGAGGATGGAAAATATATAAATATGACAGATGAGGAATGTAGAAGTCGAATGTGAATATTCTCATTAGTGGGATTCAACACACGACCGCAAGATTAGAAATCTTATGATATACTCTTTCTCCTTTACAGATATATCAAGTTAAGCATACCTTCCGGATTTTACTACATGTGTATTTATATTGCAGTATTATAATGTTTAATTACTTTTAAATGTCATATCAGAGCTCATGTAAAATATTTGTTTGAAATCAAAGAGGAGTTATCTTTCACCTTGAAACAAACGTATGATTCGAAAAAACAACGACAAAAACCGGAACGTTGTTAGTTCTAATTCGGTGCCCGTTTATGCCTTAAATAATGCACGACGGGGGAGGTTGGTTGGCAACTGAGGTCTTCCTCCACTAGTAAGGATTGATTGACGCAATATGACATTTTCTGTGTTGGTGCGACGTAAAAATCACCCCCACTCCACCCCATCCCCCCAAAAAAATAAAGAAAGAAAGAAAAAAAGAAAGACATAAAGAAAATAAATAAATCAAAGTCATGACAAATAAAGTAAAATCTTATTTAAGGTAGTATCTTTCAACACACAATGGCTAAACTTAAACATGTAAAATAAAGACAATACTTAAAGTTATAATTGTTTTTATAAAATAATAAAAAATTTCCTAAAATGTGTTTGTATTAGCATATAACGTTGATATCTGTCCATTATTTATTTTCATTCAAATGGACGTTATAATATTTGCAGACTTGATAGTATTTATTGATTAAACAGGGTTTTCCGAAAATATATATGGTGGAAAATATTAAAAAATTAAAAAATACCAAGACCTGTTACAGTCATTAGAAGAATAGTAAAAAGTTTCGAGTTGCACCATTTGTGTGATTTTGGCACCTACCGATGTGTAAGATCGTGTAAAGAGCTAGTCGTCGTGTGAACTCCGTGCAATTAACAGTTAACTTGTTTATATAGTCTGTGTGGTTTTAGTAAGAAAGATTCAGCGAATTCAGGTTGGCACGTTTTTGTTTATTTGTGTTTCTATTTTTTTAAATCTTTGTTACATGATTGAACGGCCGGCGAATCTGTTTCTATCCATCCATCCATCCATCTATAACATTTTTACGATCAGTTCAAATGCTACTAAAGTTCAAGGAACATTAACATTGTAAGAGCGGTGTTTATAAATAATCTATATTTAAGACGAAAATGCCTAAGTGACAGCTATACTGTTCACAAGGCGACACATCCGACTCGCGGAGTTCTAGTTTTAGAACTGGACTTTAATGAAGGGACGTCCATTGCCGAGTGGTAAATGTCATTTACTTAAAAAAATTGTCCCCAGCACTGCCGGTTTAAGTCCGCCAGGGACTTTGGATTCTTTCATGTGAGGACACTGTTTCCAGCTAGCTTACGGATAATCGGTAATATTACTAAGGTGCCCATTTGTGCCTTAAATAATGTTCGAAGAAGCACCTAAGATAAAGCTGGACAGTCATCCGAATACCTTTAAAGTCCAACATACTAAACTTGTCAAAGAGACCTCGAGAAAACTTTTTGACGGACGATGTCTTTTTCCAAGGCGTAACGGTGTGGCAGTATGGAAAAAAGCAGTATGTAAAATGGGTCAAACCGTTCACGCCTTACTAATTAGGCTATTACTTTTACAGTGTTGGGAGGCAACACTCTAAAATATGGACCTTTACGAGAAGCTTCACAAGGGTCAAAACCAAATCCAATACAAAATGGAGCATAAATTTTCATAAAATACTTTTAGGATAATCTCCGTCACATCGTGATAATGAAAACTTATACCAAGTTTGCTGTGAAAACTGCACCTCAGCTTAACCGAAAAGAGAGTCATATCCCTACTTTTTTTCTTTGATAAAGTCCATACAAATTTCGAGATCATAGATATAATTATTATTTTTTTATTCTGTGGAAAGCAAGTCTTATAATTAACTCTTTCAATTAAGAATAAAGCCAATAAGTATGTTATTTACCAAACATTATGAGTGTATTTCATACTATACTTTAAATAACAACACATAACTAAACCCTCATTTTATATCTTTATTTCCATAAATTTTTAGCGTGTAACAAATGAGTTGGGTTTTTTTTAACTTGACAATATACATTCAAAAAAATAAATGCATGCATACATTGCAGAATTATCCCCTTTTCCACGTTGCTTTTACTTGCATATTAAGCACTGAGAAAAGCGGAATGAGCTGCCAGCAAACACAGGCCTTGTTAAATGAAATTTTAACGTTATCCATCCGGATTCATTTATTGATAAAACCTATACATGTACATGTCATTAAATACTTCAGCTGTTTTAAAAATACGAACGGTAGAAAATGAGAAAGGTTTTCTCACTACAAATCAAAGAGAAATATAATTGAAAATTATCATGGACTGAAAATGAATGAACAAAGATGAAGTATTACAAGTTAAAATTTAACAATGATATAAACTGGCATTATAATTCAGTCATACAATTTATAATTATACAATATTGTAAACAAAACAAGCATTTAAATTACCAAAAGGTTCATTAAGCCTTGAATCAAACATATAATTACACGGATGTCCACTTTACATCTATCTTGGCATCTTTTTTACAAATAAATTGGTATCTTGTGTAACATGGCCTGTCATACCATAGACGCGAGGGGTAATTGATCTCAACACAATTCTCACGAGTACCTCCATTGGGCTGACCATCAAAATTTCTGCAAATATAAACAATATTTACTTTTATAAAAACATATTTTCTTTCTTATTTTCACGTTTGATGTTGCATACTGATCATGAAATTAACTAACAGACTAGCACGTGTGCTAGTATAAAGAATAATAATCCTTGTTAATTGGTTTTATATTGGTATTCACAGCTAGGTTTAAACACTTACGCTTTTCAGAACATACACAAAACGGAATAAACGTATAATCAAATACATACAATGTGGAAATGGATCAGAACGATTTTTTTCAACAACAATTTAAGTGCCTAAAAAATCTAGAGTACTGGATAAAAGTAGCAAACATTTCAGAAGTATAAAGTCGTAATTAAGCTTTTTCGGCCGTATAATCAAATTTTATTTATTTTGCTTTAAATGCTAAATTAATATTCAATATTTTCAAACGACTCTTTTTATGCACTCCATTTTCCCAACTTGGAATCGATATAGATATATTCTCATATCGATCACTGATAATAGATGATAAATCGATATTGAGACGTCCGATTACAATAACGTATTAAATGGCAAACAAAGTTCATATTCAGTTTGACATATAATGCTTAATTGTTTTGATAAACAGGCCATCACTAGTAATAATGCAAAAGCATTTGTTTGATGTTTATAGTCTTTAAAAAAAAGAGCATAATGTCCATTATGTAAAAAATATTCTAAAAGAAAGAACATCAATTTATTCTGCAAAATGACGTCGTCATGTTTTTATTCGTTGTCACAGAAACAATTAACTCAAATAGTTTCCAAGGCTACCGTCAGAAACTGCACCGATATTAAAATACGTGACGTATTAGCTATAATAAGCGGTCACCTTTATATACCGTGTCTATGACTGACCGCAAGAAATTTAATTGTAAGTACCCTGTTTATAGCGTGACTCTGTTTAACATCATTAATCATATCGTAGATATTTTTGCTACACATGTAAATGTTTCTTTAAGAAAAATCATTACTGAGGTAAACAAAGTAAAAACAGTAAAAGGTAAACTTTTACTAGTAAAATATTTATCAATTATTGATTACTGCTCAAGTCGGTGTTAGGGGGCGTGAGGGGTATTGCACTTTTCTTTAATATCCCTCATATGTTCAGACTCAATCAAACCGAGTTTGCAATTTGCATGTAATTATATTGTGATTAATGCTTTCGTGGGACCAATCTTTCTCTAAATTGTTATCAATATACGTACGTGTATGTTGCAGGTTGACCAGTTCTTTCTGATATCCAAGTACCCTCCTCCTTCTCGTCAGAATAACCGATCCACACATCCCCAATAACGTGCTAACCCACCGATAAAAGTATTCTCTGCTTCATTTTCAATGTCAGACAAGGTTGCTCCTAGACGCTTACAATGGGCACGAGCTTCACTGAACGTTTTCCTCTCATCAACATACAAATAACAATACGATGAATATTTTGTCCAGTCCGATGGACATGTATAATAATTTACCAATTTTCTAGAAATTAAAGCATTTAAAAGTTTAGCTTGAGTTTCTTTTAAAGCTTCTATTTCTCTCTGCTGGGCACTTATCAACTTCTCTGTGGTGTCACTCTTTAGAGACACTTCGTTAATATCTTTAACATTATTTGTGATTATTTCGTCCACTTTGCTCAGTTTTGTTTGGAATTTGTCATCAATTTTTGCAGACACTTCCTTGATATCTTTAACATTATTTGTGATTATTTCTAGATTGCTTTCCAATTCTTCTTTTTCAACTTTGAGTTCGTTTTTAAGCTCCGAGAAAATCCTATTTAGCAGATCAGTTTGTTCATGCACTAGACCTGCAAGTTTTTCCACTTGATCTCTTGTCCATTGTTTTTCCTTATTAAGTCCTAACGACACTATTATTCGGCTTGACTTTAGAATTTCAACACGTTTTGGAGAATTAGCCTGCTTCTCTGTTTCTGTCTGTTGGTCCATTATGGGACACATTTGATCCTTGAAAATTAACACAGAATTATTAAGCTCCTCGAAGTTTTGTTGCAATGATTTTGCCAGTTCGTTGTTCAGAATTTATTCGTGTTTCAACTATACTTATTCGTGTTTTCTACACCACCAATTCTTTTTTCTTTGATATCAAATCCCCTGTCTCTCCTTATTGCATCCACCATAGAAACAAATAAAAAAAATAAAGAAGAAAATTGCCACTGTATTTTCCATTACATTGATAATCGTTTTCATAACGCTTACGTTAAAGAATATCTTGAAAATTCAAAGAAAACGTTTGAAATTTAAAAAATTTCTTAAAATAACTATTTTGAAAACATCAAAATCACTTTTTAGAAGAAAAACAGCTATGAGCTCACTTGTCTGTATATTGGTTTATTTCACCGTTTACCTAGAATGTTAAACAAACAAAATATACAAAATCAACGATAAATTTTCTTCTTATCATTTACTAAGCAGTACGAAAGACCGGTCGGGACACTTCAATTCCCGATTTCATCTTCGTGAATTTACAATTTAAACTTCATAAATTTACGTTTTCAACATACTGAATTCTCGAATTCATGATTTCAACTTCATAAAATTTACGATTTAAACTTCATGAATTCACGATTTCAACTTCATAAATTCACGATTTCAACATCAAAATATACGATTTCAACTTAATGAATTCACGATTACAATTTCACGAATTCACGATATCATTTCATGAATTCTTGTTTTGAACTTCTCAATTTCAACTTTACGAATTCAAGATTTAACCTTCACGAATTTGAAATCGTGAAGTTGAATAAGTGAATTCGTAAATTCTGCATGTTGAAATCGTGAATTCATGAAGGTGAAATTGTGAATTCGCGAAGATAAACCGAGAAATCAAGAAGTAAAATGTAATCAACCGGTATTTTGCATTGATACTATATAAATAAAATTATATAGTTTTGTGGATATATTCTGATAACATTAAGCATACCGTATTTCTCCTATTTAACACCCCACTCCGTCGATACTATGTCCCATATTCCGTCGCGGCCAAGTATTATCTATTTGAAACTTAATATTATTTTAAAACAAACCTCTTTTGCAATGGCAAAAAAACCCCACAAAACACACAAAAACACGAACAAAACAACAACAAAAAAACAACAACAAAAAACTTGAAGTATGTTTCAAAAGGTACTCGGCCGAATTAAAACTGGTTAGCATGCAAAATTATGTTATTTCTTAGTTTTCAATACAAAAAGAAATGTTAGAAGTGCTTGCATAACAATGACATAATAATTACTTCTTGTGGCGATGAAAATTCCCATTTTGTTAACATTGAAATTTAAATAATAGCACACTTATATTGATGATTTTTCAAGGTAGGACAACTTCTATTTTAGGGTGTCTCTTTCACTTGTTTTACGTTTGACGTTATAAATTTTGTTATCGTAAACAAATTAAGCGACAAGTTAAAGAACTATCATAATTCTTGTCCATTTTATTCAAGAACTTTCCTTAAAATTTTGTTTTATAGTGACAAAAACTATCCCATACATTTCATTTTAGAGCTTTCCTTAAAATTTTATTTTAGAATGGTAAGGACTATCCTTTACATTTTATTATAGAATGGTTAGAACTTTCCTATACATTTTTATTTAAGAATGGCCAATGAGATTCACCGATTTCAGTTTGCAATTCTAAAATGACCAAATGAAAATTATTTTTGTATTCCAGTCCTTTCCCTGTTTATTTTTCAGGAAGTTCAAAACTGATAACAGACGGACTTCGTCCGCTTGATATATTTACCAAAAGTCGTTGTCATTCTACTTACATTATGTAACTTTACCGCATAATAGAGATAGGATCAGGATTTTTCAAACAAAACAAATAGACATTGCAATGGAAAGGGGCTTATATTCGGAAATATACAGTTCTTCACGTTGTACTCCTGTATCTTACGAAACCTGGTTTAGTGCCACAGTATACAGTTTAGATATATGACGTTGCAACGATAATGCAAAGTGACAGCTGATATCGACACTTCGCATTACACGTATGACTACACAATATAACATACAAATAATGAATGGCATTGTGCATTGACATGCAATGCAATGCATTGACATTACGTCTGTCGTGCGTTGTGTTGATTGTCGAATGAATATCTACATATAATGTGGCACTATCTGGATATCGTAGTTTGGTTTCATTTATTGTTTACATCCACATCGTGGAAAAAGCCTGCAAACAGAAACGACAGCCAATAAAATCAGCACATGTTTTGTTAGAACAGATGTTAGATTGACGTATCCTTGGATTTTATTCAGTTATCTTAGATTTCTCAGATGAAGGTTAAGCATGATTTTCCTGGCAAGTACGCAAGTTTCATACATCAGTGCTTGTTTATGGAAAGTCATACATGTCTTATATTGTTCTTTTTCAATTTATTTACCATGTGGTTCTCTTCGAAAATTTATGGATTATTTAAAACACCTTCTTATCAAACCTGAAACCATCACATAAATCCACAGTTACAATATGTCAAAACATGCATGCAGTCAGTATATGAAACCAAGGTAGCTTTATATAAGTTGTTTTTCTCAATATATGATATCAATTCTTCTATACTACTATATAATACCAAAGTTACAATATATGTAACCATATAACCTTATATGAATCCGAATTATCAATATGTTTATTCATTTTTTCAATATATAAATCATGTCGTCAGTGTATGAAATCAAAGTATCAATACTAGTATATAAGTTGATTTTGGCATTACATGTATATGATAACAATTCTTCAATATATGGTTACAAAGTAGCCAGGTATTGAACCAAATATTCTTTATATGAAACTGAATTATCAATATACTTATTTATTTTTACAATACACAAATGTATATGAAACCATTTAATCAATGAATGAAACCGAAGGAGCTATATATATTAAGTGGATTATTTCATAATATGATACCAGTTTTATAAAATGACATATTATTGCATATATGGTTTCTTTTTATGAAAATCAACATAATTTTATATATTAACTATGCGGTTCCATACATTGATAAAATGGTTTATTGTAACACTCTTCGTGATTTTGTTACTGTATACAAAGAAGAAAAAAAACGGTGTTAAACTGACAATAAACACTGGCAATGGACTAGTTGTATATGCGGCTGTTATGTTTTCTCCCTCGATTATATAGTTAACACATACTTTTAAAGCAACAGTAAAAAACATTTTAATTGCTATTTTCAGTTCTTATAATGTTTTCTTTTCATACAATACTGAATAATATCTCACATACACTAACGCCAGAGATTTGATCCATACCAGTAAATACTTTTTGACTAAACGGCGCCAATCTGTTAGCAGCGTAATGACGTCATCATTACGTACACAACTCATTCATAAACGCCCTAGAATGACATCATTTCAAACATACAAAAATGATTAATTGGGCACTGATGTAAACACAGTACAATCCAGTCTGTGACGTAAGTTTTTATTGTTGAAAATTTGATAAAATAACTTTTTTCTTATTATTTCTTTTAATTGTAATTTCTAAATCTTATCAACGGTAGGGTGCGAAATCGAAAAACGTTATATACGAAAATTGGCACCTGAAGTATTTCCGTTTGAAAAAATAACATTTGTGATCTTCCTTATTTTGTCTTGTTAGAATCGAAATAATATCGGTCTGAGCAGTGTTTGAAATGAAAACCTGCTATCAATGCAAGGTGAAAATCAACTAATATACTGTTTCTTCATTGATTAAGTGCCTTCATAAATTGTAAAAATAAATTCATATAGATATCTTGCACTGATGGTTTTGTTTCATATATTGTAGCTATAGATTAATATAATGGCTTCCGATTTATAAAAGGGTCTTTTCAATTATTGTATAGTGGAAGTGAACTTATATATAATACACATGTTAAATAAATTGAAAAAGAACAATATAAGACAGCCATGGCTTTCCATACCTGTTGACTGTAAAAACAGCAGGGGCCTTGTTTTGCTGTACACTTGCCAAACTATAACTCACCGAGATAAGACGAGATGCTGCAGGCATGTGCTAGCAGTTAATTTTATATTTTAAAAGGTTTTTATATATACACGTATCATGTTCTTTCTGTCATCATGCCAACATTCTAAGAAAGTGTTTTACAAAAATCTTTCTTTAGTGCAACTTCTGCTGACCGAAATTCTATAGAGAAACAACAAAATCACTTCACAGTAAATTTAACCTCTTTAGCAATACAGCAATACCTCTTAGCAACAACAAAAATCTTCGTCTCCCAAAACGAGGTTGCTCGGTACATATCTGTAATCATGATCAAAACTAAGATTACGTAGCAACAATTTTACATTCGATTACTACTTTCAACAGGCAGGACTTGAAATTGTTGCACAATTGTTTAAAGCAAACGAAATGGTTGCACAATTGGTTAAAGCAAACGAAATTGTTGCACACTTGGTTAAAGCGAACGAAATGGAAAGCGAATGAAATGGTTGCACACTTGGTTGAAGCGAACGAAATGGTTGCACACTTGTTTAAAGCGGACGAAATGGTTGTACTCTTGGTTAAAGCGAACGAAATGGTTGTACACTTGGTTTAATAAACGAAATGGTTGCACACTTGGTTAAAGCAAACAAAACGGTTGCACACTTGGTTAAAGGAAACGAAATGATCGCACACTTGGTTAAAGCAAACGAAATGGTTACACACATGGCTAAAACAAACGAAATGGTTGCACACTTGGTTAAAGCAAACAAAATGGTTGCACACTTGATTAAAGAGAAATAAATGTTTGCACTCTTGACAAAAAAGCGACCGAGAAATGAAAATTTTTAACGGTCGCTCATATTTTGCCTAGGAAAGTGGGTTTGTATGTTATTTTACAGATTTGAATATCCCATATTATATAATCAGTGTTAATGTCACAATCAGCTTTCGGTTTCGGCTTCATGTGTTCTAATATGAGAAAGGCATTGAAGATATAAACATATACATAATATTAGATTTAGTCGGTTTTCTACTCATTTATTCAAATATGTAAGTTTAGAAGTTTATAAACAACATATGTTTCTGTCATTACTGTACAAATCTTTTAGCTTGTTACGAGTATAACATCTATAACGTCTCAATACACAT